ATGTGCACCCTCTGACTTCCATGTGCCCCCACATGTGTATGTGCACCTCCATACAAACAGACACATACACACAAATGTATTGGAGAACAATTTTGGTATGCTATGATTTTACCATCTGTTAAATACAAAAGGAAATGTACATGCTAATGAGACAGCTGTGATTGGGAAGGAAGTCTCGCCTGGCTATTGTGAACTGCAGGGTAAAGAGAGTCTTCAGTATTTTCTTTAGGGATCAACATTTTGACTTATAATTATCAATGTTGAGAAGGTGGCTTCCCGTAAGCACATAGCAAAAGCAGTACAAGTATGTTTAGGGCCGTTCCAGAAATGGCTGGAAGTTCTGTCCTAATACCAAACTAAAAGCCTTTTTTTTTTTAACGGTTTTTAAATGAACAACCACATCATCTACTTCTTAAATCAAACGTCCTAATACAATATAATTCAAAGAAATGCTACTTTGATACTTACATGTTGAGCAATAATGTGGGAAAACATTTAAAAATCTTCACTTTCTGGAATTAAACCATCATGCTTCTTTAAGAGAGGAAAACTTTGTATGCACATGAAAATTGTTATGCAATTGATAACAAGTCAGGTTTCCTCCCAGCCCTCCCTCAGCACACTCCCAAGGTTCCACCCTTCCCTGCTTAGAACTGAAGCAGTTATTGCTCAGACCCATCCTTGGCTTCCTCTCTGTATCTGACCTTCTTCAGTGAGGAACTAGAGAAGGCAGTGAGCAGCCGGCAGATGCCCCCGCCCTCAAGCCGTGGATCGTGACTCCTGGGGGGGGGGGTCAAACCACCCTTTCACGGGGCTGCATGTCAGATCTTTACTTTACAGTCATAACAGAAGCAAATCACAGCTTTGAAGGAGCAGTGAAGATAATATATGGCTGGAGGTCAGCACAGCATGAGGAGCTGTATGAAAGGGTCCCAGCCTCAGGAAGGGGTCACATACCGGGAAGCTGTGCCCCTCCCTCCGCAGAGATCTCAATCTGGAGGGGCAGCCCCATCTGGGAGAGTGTGGCATCCTCTGTCAACCAGAAACGCCCCTTTTGCATGCTGACCCCTGTGACTGAAGCCGATGAGGGTGCCACATGTTAACCTGTTCTATACAGCTTCACTGTGGAACTGCTTGGGACATGGGGCCCCAGCTCATTCTTTAGGGAGGATTCTGAAATCGGAATTAAGCTGAGCTCTGCCATCCTCAGTCCTCGTGTCACCTAGATCTCTGCTGTGGACACCTCAGATCTGCCCATCCTCTTCTTGAAACTCTAAAGAAATACAGGAGACAAGGGAGCAGTGAGGCTCCCCGGCTCCCCTCAGTGTCCAGTGTCCGGATCACAGATCCCACTTGGAACCGCAATAGGCAGAGCTGACACTCCATAAGTTTGCTGAGCCCCGGGACACACACTAACCCCAGAATTGTCCATGTATCAAGCCCCCAATCTTGGGATTTTAGAGAGAGAGGAAACCCGGAGTCACCGAGTCCCAAATCCTTCAAGGACAGGAATTCTCTCTCATGACCCACAACATGCTCTTGCCAGGTGCCTTCAAGAGGTGCTGCCATCCTGAGAGACTGAGGCTACTGAGAACACGTGATCCCTTTGAGGGCACTGCACCTTGTGAACTCTTTCCTTCTCACACCAAGTCCCCAGGGTCCCGCACTGAACCTGGAGTTCACTGCTCTGCCTTTCCTATGACCTGACTTCCATGCACACCTGCTCCCTAGTGGGACAGAATAAAGCATCCACACACCACTGCTCAGTTACCCGGGAACTCGTCCCAGTCCCTCTTCAGCTTCTCTTCTCCATCAAAGCATCTCAGGCCAGCTCAGACATTCCTCCCAGTCCCCATCTTCTGAGTCTTTTCTTCCTGTGTGTGTGTAAATGTGCATGTGTGTGCAGAGGTTGGTGTGGTGTCTTTCTCATTCACCCCCCTTATTTCTGAGACAAGGTCTCTCTCTGCCCGTGGGGCTCACTGATTCAGCTAGACTGGCTGGCCAGAGAGCTCCTGAGACCTCCTGTCTCTGCCCGTGCAGTACTGGGGTGCAGGTACGGAGAATTCTGCCCGGCTTTTCATGGGTTCTGAGTATGGGGTTCGTTCAGCAAACTCTGCCAGCTCAGCCAGCTCACCACTCTTCTGAACACTGCTGTTTTGCTACTGTTCCCTGTGACGGAAACACCAGAACAAATGGTGCACCGTAGCCGCAGGTCCACTGACCTCCATCCACACACCGTTACCTCACTAAAATGACCAGATTATATGTGCCTCACATCCAGTGATCAACTGTTCATACAGCTTCAAAATAAAAGAAGTGGACGGAAGAGAGGGTCTTATAAGTTATTAAAAGACCACATCCTCTCTTCACCTTCGTTAATAATGGAATTACTTAAGAGACCAGGGCCCCAGCAAAGATTATGAATGACAGGTTTAGATAATTAAACCATAAGATGATTGACCCAAGGTGAAATTCATGGATGCACCAACACCCATTTCTACATTTCTCCCTTCCAAGGCCACTGGGGGCTTGGAAGGGCTCTCTCTAGAAGCTCTGCCTGCCAGTGTCTCCCCAATTCTTGACTTTTTTTCTGTGTCGGTTTTTCAGGTGCTCCTGAGGTCTTCTTGCAGCATGTTGGAAACTCACTGGTGGTTTTCCTTTGTGTCTTTGACAGGTCAGCTGAAGGATGCCCTCACCCAGCGGCACCGGCAGCAAGTAGCTCTTGGTGAGTACGCTGCAGGGCCCTCAGAATGAATATGGGGGCTGCAGAATTAAGGGTATGTATGCTGCCCTCAGAATGAAGGGGTGCCCTGCAGAATTAAGGGGGTGTATGCTGCCCTCAGAATGAAGGGGTGTCCTGCAGAATTAAGAAGCTGTATGCTGCTCTCGGAATGAATAGGGGTGTCCTATAGAATTATGGGTGTGTATGCTGCCCTCCAAAGGAAGGGGTGCCCTGCAGAATTAAGGGTGTGTATACTGTCCTCAGAATGAATAGAGGGTCCTGCAGAATTAAGGATGTGTATGCTGTCCTCGAAATGAATAGAGGGTCCTGCACAATTAAGGGAGTTTATGGGGGGTCCTGTAGAATTAAGGGGGTGTATGCTGCCCTTGGAATTAATGCATAGTACCCTGCAAAATTAAGGGTGTGCATTCTGCCCTCAGAATGAAGGGGTACCCTGCAGAATTAAGGGGGTGTATGCTGCCCTCAGAATGAGTAGGGGGTACCCTGCAGAATTAAGGGTGTGTATGCTGCCCTCGGAATGAATGGGAGGGGGTCTGCAGAATTAAGGAGGTGTATGCTGCCCGTGGAATGAATGGGGGGCTGCAGAATTAAGGAGGTGTATGCTGCCCTCGGAATGAATAGTGGTGCCCTGCACAATGAAGCAGTATGTGCTGCCCTCAGAGTGAAGAGAGGTGCACACTGCAGAGCCCTCGGGATAAAGGGGGATATGTAGACAAACTTTCTTTTCAGGACCAGCCAGCTCACAGATAATGACACGGAGACTTAACCATTAATTATGAAAGCTCGGCCTTAGCTTAGCCTTGTTCCTAACTAATTCTTATAACATTAACTCATATTTTAAATCTGCGTTCTTCTATGTGGCTCAGTTACCTTTACTCTGCACTGCCCAACCTGCTTCTTCTGCATCTGGCTGGTGACTCTGCCTTTCTTCTTCCAGGAGCTCTCTCTGTCTAGAAGTCTCTCCTGCTGCTTAGTTCTTTATTAACTCAGCCAGAGTGACACATCTTCAGCAGTGTGAAGGAATATTCCACAGTAGGGGTGTATACTGCAGAGCCCTTGGAGTAAGTGGGAATGGTTCAAGATAATCTAGATAAATGGCAAACCTCAACACTCTGGAAGTTAGGAAGGCACGATTGCAGTCTGTGTACCTCCTCTGGAAGAACCAGCTCCCCAACCTGTGTGCCTGCACTAACCTGTGTGCCTGCCCTTGGCTGTTGGTGACTGCCCTTCCAACTGCTTCCGTATCCTCCCAGGCTTTCCCATCCCATACCAACCTGAACCCTGTTCCTAAAGTGCTACACTGAGTCTTCAAGGCAGAGGCAGGACTCATCAGTCCCAACCATAGCGACCCATGGCAGAAGAGCAGCCCATCCGTGTCTGTGATACTGCGGGCACCAGGTCTTTCACCATCGCCATTGTCACAGGAGCCAGGGCGTCCTCCAGACGGGGGTTCAGTGCCTGCCTGTGCTCACATGGAACAAGATGACAGCCCCCAGGTCTCTCTGGGCATTCCTATGTCCTAGCCTCCAACAATGTTTGTGCCACTTCCGTGCATTGAGAATGTCAACAGTAAACACACATGATCATATTCCAAGGGGCCTGCTGCACTCTCAGTGGCCGACAGACACAGAAAATGTCCCTTTTGCTATGGTACTGAAGAAAATCACCTGGAGGATAGTGTCATTCCAGAAAGCTGATGGAACATAGCTCTAGAAAACCGCTTCACTTTCTTTCCAGCTGGCCAGGACTCGGCTACTAATGTACCAAACAACCCCCCACCCTCGTGATAGCCTGGGTCCTGCAATGACTCACAATTAAGAAAGCCCAGGACCCAGGGCTAATGGAAGGGAAGCAGCACAGGAAACTAATGTCATGAGCGTGACCCAGTCAGTAATGATAACGATGCTGTGAAATGGTAGCTGGAGAGTCAGAATGTCAGCACATGTGTGCCCAGGCCATCTACCTGGAGAGTCAGAATATCAGCACACATGTGCCCTGGCCATCTACCTGGAGAGTCAATGTCAGCACACGTGTGCCCAGGCCATCTACCTGGAGGGTCAG